AAGTTACAATTTCATATTTTTAAGTTATATTTTTAAAATGTATTAAAATAAAGCCCTAAAATAGATGGTATCTATAAACAGTCCTATCTTGTTAAAGAATAATCCTATTAATCCTATAATTCCCTATTGCCAGTTGAGAAATTGGCAAAAATATTATTTTCATCTTCAAATTCAAACTTTTGAAGATAGCTACTCCATGGTGGAGAATAGAAAACAAGGGAGGTAATTGTGTTATTATTTTCGGTGTAAATGAGTTTTAAGTATGAGGATGACACCTATGATCGTATAATAGTGAGTTAACAACCTATTGAGCAAAAGACATAGAAATAATTATGTCAAGTGTCCATGACTATTTATCATATCACAACCTGCAAAGGTATTTGTATTTCAATACCCTCTACTTTTTTTTAAGAGTATATTTGAATCATTCTGTTTATCTTATTTCTACTATGTACACATCAAAACACACTAGTTGGAACATGAGAGAGGGAGAGAGACATCCCCTCCCCTTCCCCCGGTAAGATGATAGAGGTTGTATTCAGGCATATCTATTCACAACAAAACAACCACTTGTTACTCAGTATGGGTATAATATCACGTGAACTATCCTATCAACAGGATTGGTCAACACATTGCAGAGAAACAACTTGTCAAATCATTTCATGAAATGTCACAGTCACGTGATCGTCTGGAGCTGAGGACTTCGGCTCTGCGGGAAACCCCTATATTTGCATTTTGGGAACGGAAAAGTAAAGCGAATTGTTTGGTTGGTTCTAATGCAATATCTGCCGAATTGAGAACCGCGTGATTTCGAGGTTAGACAAATATACGGTTACCAAGCAGCAAAACGTCCGTGTCCACTGTTCAATCGTTCTAGAAACATTATTCGTCTTTCATTTATGTAAACATATTCATTTCAGTTTGGTAGTATGCCAAGTTTTGATAAAATTGTTCTCTAATGCATAATTTATTTCATTGCTTTTTTGTTATGTTTTGGTGGGCCTAATAATGTGGTCATGGTGTGATGCACTATTGAAAGGTAGATATTAATTACCTGTATGTCTCAGCTATTATCATGGTTATTTTAGTTCATATCTTATTTCAACTATTGTCTTCGTCTGTTATAAACAGGTTTCTACACATACCTGTAACCTTACCTCAATAATGATGAAAATACCTGTACAGTTAAATAGGGTAACGTAATGAAAAGCGTGGTAATATACACCCACTCCTATTCTTTAATCCGTCACACGTTCAGGGGCGTCAGAAGGAGGGTAGGCAGACTAACATGGGGCACTGTAGACGTGGGAGGGGGAGCGCCGGGATATTTTTGGTTCTGTGGTACATGCTAGAATCAGTGTTATGTTTATACTATACATCGACATTATGATTAAGTTCTGAAGATCGGAACATAAGCATACTTATCAACAATCAAGAACTAAACGACCTACGAGTAAAGGAAAACAAGCATCAAAATGGACTGGTATTCCTTACCCACTCCTATTCTTTAATCCGTCACACGTTCAGGAGCGTCAGAAGGAGGGTAGGAAGACTAACATGGGGCACTGTAGACGTGGGAGGGGGAGCGCCGGGATATTTTTGGTTCTGTGGTACATGCTAGAATCAGTGTTATGTTTATACTATACATCGACATTATGATTAAGTTCTGAAGATCGGAACATGAGCATACTTAGCAACAATCGAGAACTAAACGACCTACGAGTAAAGGAAAACAAGCATCAAAATGGACTGGTATTCCTTACCCACTCCTATTCTTTAATCCGTCACACGTTCAGGGGCGTCAGAAGGAGGGTAGGAAGACTAACATGGGGCACTGTAGACGTGGGAGGGGGAGCGCCGGGATATTTTTGGTTCTGTCGTACATGCTAGAATCAGTGTTATGTTTATACTATACATCGACATTATGATTAAGTTCTGAAGATCGGAACAGGAGCATACTTATCAACAATCAAGAACTAAACGACCTACGAGTAAAGGAAAACAAGCATCAAAATGGACTGGTATTCCTTACAAAGGATACCTGGCAGGTTTCGTTCGAATCTGTTCACTGATGAGGGAGAAGCAGACACGATTCCATTGCAATAACGAGATGATGATCAACACATTTTCACCAGATATTTGTGCCAAACTCCGGTAGTTACTGGTCCAGTTACCACTCATTACTAATTTGATATATTTTTCCGAAAAACTAAAATTCATCATCGTGTCCACTGAAAACCGTAATGGCCTCAATCCAGGGAGAACATTATCTATGGGTGAGGTACAGAAATAGTGAATCAAACTAGTTCTCTCGTCATTTCCCGTATTCTTCATCGCGATGGTGGGCTGGGGGGGGGGGGCGAAAACAGATGCTCTTGAGGGCCCAGCCCAGTACGCCCCTGACACACCTCTACCCTGGTAGGAAATCTAATCGAAGTCGAGCGTTATCAACCATGCAGGATTCTTTTGTTTTTGCATTTATGAGGGGAGGGTAGCCGTCTAGCCACCCAACACACCTCTAGTTTATTTCTTTAAAAAAAGACTTCAAACATAGTTATAATTCTAAAATGGGAAATGGAAACAAAAGTAAGCAAATGTGTAAAAGGTTGATGGATTTGTCAGCTTCACTATTTTGCTCTTTTCGATTTCACCGAGAAAGCGACATCGTCGTCACTTAGTTTAGGTTGTTGGAAACTGGCCTTTAGTCCTTTATTTGATTTGGATCACGCGATGGTTTCGTAGGGAGAAATATAAGAAGGGAAACATTTAAAACAAGTAAAGACAGATTGTCGACAAAGAGATAGAGAGAAATGGGGTTTAACGCCCACTCGACACAAACTTGGTCATTTCGGGACTAACACATTGCTGAACTTTATTTCAATACTTCGCTTGCGCGTAAGGGGCATTAGCAGTGGGGGGAAACCGGGGAACCAGGAGAAAACCCATGAGGTTGGACAGGCGACCCTACTCCTGGTCACGTACAACCGGGGAATCGAAACCACGTCAGTTGACCCATTGGCAGACCTTTTGATACATCCTGCTGTAAACCTACTATAAACAGTAACACGTGAACCACTTGAGAAGAGCTTTTTACGATCCTCAAAGGTTTAGGGCGTAGCTTCAACGCGGCAATTTATTCATTCACTTTGATACACTCACTCCGTTCGTTTGACACCTCTCTCTCTGTTCGGATAAGCTGTTGATTTTGCGACGAACAGTATCTGGTCAGTTCTATTGATCTCGACGACAAGTGTCTGAATACTGCCATGCTGCATTTCCGGCAGTCTATTTCTCAAAATATCGCGGCGAAAATATTCGTTCACTTTGATTCACTCCCTCCATTCGTTTGACACTGTCTGGTCGGATAAACTAGTGATTTGGTGACAGGCGGTATCTGATAAGCTCTATTTATCTCGAAGATCGGTACCTGAAATACTGCCAGACTGCATATCAAATTTTGGGGGGCTTCGTTGAGGTTCGTTTGACACTTTCCTCTCTGGGGTCGGATAAACTAGTGATTAGGCGGCAGGTGGTATCTGACCAACCCTATTTATCTCGACATTCGGTACCTGAATACTGTCATACACAGCATTTCCGACAGTCTATTTTTCAAAATTTTCTTGGGGAGGTCCCCAATACCCTCCGTAAGAACTCGCTACTTTGGCGCTCATGAGAGGGCTTCGTTGAGGTTCGCAATTCCGTTCGTTTGACACTTTTTTTCTCTGGTCGGATAAACCAGTGACGGTATCTGGTCAGCTCTATTTATCTCGACAATCGTTGCCTGACTGAATACTGTCAGACACAGCATTTCCGGCAGTCTATTTTACTGGGGGAACCCCCCGCCCCATACCCTCCGTAAGGACTCCCTACTTTAGCGCTCGTGGGTGGATTTCGTCGAGGTTCGCAAGCCCGTTGTTTGACACTTTATCTCAACGATCAGTGACTGAAATACTGTCAGACTGCATTTCCGGCAGCCTGTTTTTCAAAACTTTCTCGGGGAGACTCCCCCCACCCCTACCATACTTGAAGCTTGTGCTTTTGTCCCAGCTTTGCTCCTCCAACTATCGGTGGCTGGCGCCGCCTTTGACCATACTTTGGCACGTTTTGCGTATGATCAGCGGCCATTTTGGTCCGATTTTCACGAAATTCGAACCCAATCATCATTATAGTGTAACGGTGAAATATTTGAAGTTTTTATTAAATCAGATAAATTGTGTCAAGGGGGACCACAAGCTAAAAACGCGATTTTTCGTACAATTAGGGGCAATATGCGCAAATATCGAAAGGAACAAAGATCTTTGGGTTATAAACATACATTTCAAGTTTTATTAAAATCGGATAAAAATTGTGACTTCTAGAGTCATAAAAATTGTGACTTCTAGAGTGTCCACAACCTAAACACGTGATTTTTCATACAATCGGGGGCCATAATCCATGAAGTTTCGATCCGATACATGCCAATATGGACAGGAACCGAGATCTTTTGGAGATAAACCTATATTTTAAGTTTCGTCCAAATAGGATAAGTATTGTGACTTGTAGAGTTCCCACAAACAAATTGTTGACGCACGGACGGACAGGGCGACGACAATATATATCCACATGAAAATGTGGGCGTAAAAAAGCTTAAAATTACTTTCACTTTGATTCGATGCTCCCTTCCCCAGATATGGATCCCCGGGCCCGTCGCCCACCAGATGTATATTGGTTGCAATATCGACAAAGTTGTAGACAATATTCACCGGAAGCAGCAACAATTTTGTCATATTTGGGCATATTTTGAAAGTTGGAAAAGAAACATGTTGCCAAAAATTACTTTTAGTTCATAAATTTCAACATGGAGAATTAATTACAATATAGCGAAAATATATCAGTATATTTCCCTGCAGTCTGATTTTCAACGTCATGACGTGTGAATTGTAGCACTGCTTAACGCACAATTAATATTCAAAACGTATTCCGCTTGACAAACAAAATCATTTATAAATATTAATGCAGTCTTTATTGTGAAAATTTAAATGTGAAAACGAATTTTATATAAGATAAGGCCATATTTATGGTCTTAGAATCCATATTTCCGGCAGATGCAACGAAATGACAATTAAATCTATCTTAGAACATCACCTGGACACGTGATGGGGGGCAACTAAATGACAAGTAAAATCCATCTCAGTACACGGCTTACTTTGTTTGTCCAGTTAGTTGACACAGTTGACAAAATAAGGCTCATTCAAATGGAAATATACCAATTTAAAATAACATCCACCAAAAGAAAAAAAAACACACTTATGTTTATAAAAACTTCGGTCAGATCAGCTTTAATGATCGTCTTCATCATAATGACCATAATGATCGTCTTCAACATAATGATCATAATGATCGTCTTCCTCATCATCTTTATCGTTTATTACAAGAGTAAAGTATTTCTTAGGTATCAAGTCTTTCATGACGACATAATCTTCTATACATTGTGGTAAATCAATTTTACTGCTGATTCCTGGTCCGATACACTTTCTGATTTCTCTTCTACATCTTGACATCAAACTTCTTGATTTACAAAACTCACGGAATTCATCAAGCGGATGTTTATTTTCAGTTTCTGAATGCATAGGACCATATGTGAAAAGCGACAAACCACTATTTATAACCGGCAACACAGGGTTATAAGTGGAAAGCGACAAACGAGTATTTAATACCGACATCGAAATCATTTTCTCTATTTCACTCTTCGGTGCACCACTTTCAAACAGAATTTTAGAAAGTATCAACATATCGGGAAATTGAAATTTATCTTTGACCTTTGAAAGATCCAAATCTCTGAGAGAACAATTTTCCGTTACGAGATACCATATAAGATCTTCTTCGTGTTTTTTCAGTAACCATTGAAATAAAGTTTTTCTGTTTTTTCCTGGAATATCTAGCGACATGTGACATTTATTTATTAAAAGTAATTTTAGACAGTTGATCCATTTCCGATCCATATCACCGCCAACCATTATAGGATAATGACAATAACTATCACCAACCATTATATAATGTATAGCTGATCTTCCATCTATATCAGTTTCATCAACATCAGCTCCAGCGTTTAGTAAACATTCTAAAATAGATCTATTACAGATTCGTGCTGCTGCCATTAAAACCGTCTTTCCATTGTTATCACGCAAATTAACATCCGCCCCAGCCTTCAGCAAATATTCACAATGAATTTTTTTGTGGTTCTCAACTGCCACCATCAACGCTGTTTGGCCATTGTTATCACAAATATTATAGTCTGCACCATTCTGTAGTAGAAGTGATAAAATAGTTTCATCCTGGTTGTCTACAGCATACATCAACGCCGTCTTACCACGATGGTCTTGTAGGTTGATATTACAGCCAACTCTTAGTAGTTTCTCTACCATATCTTTAGGTCCTCTTTCTGCTGCCACCATCAACGATGTCTTACCATCTTTATCTGTGGCATTAACGATACTCTCTGCTTCACCTCTCAAGTTTGAATATTTAAGTAAAATATCTAACTCCTGTGAACCATCCAAGAGTGTTGCGAGGAATATCGCATTTCTACCCAATCTATCTCTGGGTTTCAGTTCAGCACCAGCCTTTAGTAAAACATCTACCATAACTTTCTTATATAAACTACATGTGTTGATCAATGCAAACATCATTGGAGTTTCCCCTCTCGTATTGCAATGGTTTACATCGGCACCCGCCTTCAATAATTGGACAGTAATAGATGCGTCTCCATTACCTACTGCTATGAACAAGGCCGTTTGTCCATCGACGTCACTAAGATTGACGTTCATCCCATTCTGTAGTAATGTATTTATTACCTTCGTCTTGTCTTGATAATTAGCAGAATATCCCGACATATTTTGAAAATTAGCGAAATGTCTCGAAATTTGTGGAACTTTGTGCAACGCCGTTTCTCCCTTTAGATTCTGGTGATTTATATCACAATCATGTGATGCTAATATTTTCATCAATTCTAGTTCGCCCTTTTCAGCTGAACGAGCGAGGGGTTTATCTCCATTTTCGTCTACCGTATTGATATCGATGCCGTGTTCAATAAGCAATAGCGCCATTTTATAATGTTCACCAGTGATTGCTCTACACAACAGATTATTACATTTATGAATATCAGCCCCAGCCTCTATCATCATCTTAACAATATCTGCTGAAGTAGACTGATCGTTCGTATGGTGGTAAGCAAGAAATAAATAGTCCAATACAAAACATCCTTTGTTATCTTTAGCGTTGACAGATGCACCGTGGTCAATAAGTTGTTTCACTAAAACAACATTACTCGCCTGCACGCATTGCATTAAAGCTGTAGCGCCGTCTTTATCAGTGCTGTTAACATCACATCCAGCTTTAATTAGCATTTCAGCAGCAGTCGTCTTCCGTCTTTTTACTGACTCCAGTAAAGATATAACGCCGTTTTTGTCAGCGGGGCTAACATCACACCCAGCTTTAATCGGTGCTTGAGCCATAGTCGCATCTTGTTTTCTTATAGCCTCCACTAAAGGTGCAACGCCGTCTTTATCAGCGTTGTAAACATTACACCCAAATTGAATCAGTATTTGATTCATAGTCGCATCTTGTACTGTAACTGACGCCAGTAAAGGTGTTACACCGTTTATATCAGGGATGTTAACATCACACCCAGCTTTAATCAGTATCTCAGTGATAGTCGTCTGATACCATTGTACTGACTCCAGTAAAGGTGTCACACCGTATTTATCAGCGATGTTAACATCACATCCAGCATTAATCAGTATTTGAGTAATAGTATCTCTGTGTCGTCCTATTGGCGCCAATAATACAGATCCCATGTTGTTACCTGCTTTGATATTGACATCACAGTGTGATTTAATTAATGTCTTCACCATCTCTTCATTACCTTCACATACTGCTAAATGCAGTGGAGTTTCATTGAATGAGTTCAGTTCGTTAATGTCTATACCTTTGGTTATTAATAATTGAACACATTCATCATAATAGCCTGACATTTCGTTAGCCTCTGCTGCAAGACAATGAATAAGGGTACCTTTATTGTTTCTAATATCAAGGTTTGCTCCTCTTTTTGCCAAAAATATTACCACTGCCACCATACCACGTTCAGCAGCTTTTTGGATTGGGGTTTCCCAATCAATATCCCATAGATTGACATCCGCCCCTGCCTCCACCAATAATTGTACACAATCAAGAACTTCCTTCTTCCGCCAGGGACCAATACAATAGTGTAGAGCCGAATATTGACGATCGCCTGTCTGTTGATTAATTGTATTTTTTAGTTCACTCTTCAACAAAATCTCCAAACTTTCCACGTGTAATTGTCGGCAACATAACATTAATAAGGTCTCGTCTTTGTCGGGGTTTTTATCTAGATCTGTTATATCAAGTAGATATGTTAACACCTCGATCTTATTGTTCTGGACACATTCAATGATGGCATGCCAACTGTAATGTGATATTGAAGCAGAAAGATAAAGAGGTACTCCTTTAAAGTGAAGGAACTTAATGCCCTCCGCGAAATCAGATTTTATTGCAGTCTTCATCAGTTGTATATTGGTCTCAATATCTACAAAGTGGTCAGCAATACTCTTTGAGGACAGCAACAATTTCACCATAGGTAGGCATCTGTTTTTAAGAGCAACTTCACAGACCTTTACCCATATGCAAGGAGGTATATCACAGTCGTCTCCTAATTCTACATGCTCCTGTATAATTCTTTCTACTGCAACTGTATCATTTTTATTGACAGCTTCTTTTAACCTGAAATAAAATATAATTGCTGTTAAAGATCGACTGTCAGCTAAGATATTAAGATAGACCATAAATTCACAAATAACTGATGCACTTTTACTTATAAAATTACTACAGATAAGATACAAGTCATACAATCCTACGCCTACGATTGAAAACTTGTGTGCCTTGTTTTATAAAAGATAGGTTGCCAGGCAACAAAACTATTATGCCTTGTTTTATAAAACCTTGTAACTGTGCGATCCTCACATAGACATTTGTTTCATTATTTCCTAAATAATTTATTTCAAAGTCACTATTTCGGATTCTCAACCATTTTTTAATGTTTTGTTTCATCTCATACATATACCAACATATAGACATTAAAGCTGTCGGAAATGCCATTGCAGTGTTATTTAAGCCCCGTGTATACACGTAAAAATTCCCTTGGCAGTTGAAATTCGATATATGAGTAGGTCATATTGCAGCTGCCCGGGCAAATTTTCCTCATAGCACCATGTATGGCGTATGCCGGTCTTCATTAGCCCAGTCGGCGCAGAACAGTAGGACGTTAAACCCAACTTCATTTCATATTATTTCCAAACAAGTCAACAGTGAGGCTGACGTCCCTCGCTATTATCCCAAAATAATTGATGACACATATTCATTAATCACCCATTTATTTTTTTCAAAAGTATCAAGCAATCAAGCAGATTATCACCTATACTCTAAATTTCATCACTCTCTATCAGATAGAATCAAAGTTATCTTGTCCAATCGACCAATGAATTGCTTAGCTTTAGCTCGAAATGTTAATCATTGAACTCAGTCAAGACATTCACCTAATGAACATCTACATCAAGTTTAAACATTCTACCTCAATTAAAAGCAGAGTTGTTATGTTCCAAAGTCTTGACCAAGGAAATTGATTATCGATCCTTAGTCTAAGCAGAAAATTATCATCATCAAACTTAGTCAGGGTAATGATATAATGAATCTATACTCGGAGTGCAATCACTCTCACTTAATTAAAACCAAAGTTATCGTGCCCCAAAGCATCAACCAATCAGATTGCTTATATCTGCTTACCGTAAGCAGACAATGTTTATCATCGAACTCCATCAAGTTTGAACATTCTAGCTCAAATAGAAGGAGAGATATTGTATTCCAAAGTCTCGGCCAATCATATTGCTTATCGCTCTGCTTACCATAAGCAGAAAATGCTCATTATCAAACTTAGTCAAGGTATTTATGTAATGAAACTATACACCACGTTTCATCACTCTCACTTAATTAGAACTAAAGTTATCGTGTCCCAAAGCATCAACCAATCAAATTGCTTATCTCTGCTTCCCCTAAGCAGAAAATAGTCATCTTCGTTGTCCATCAAGGCATTGACCTAATAAACACCTACAGCAAGTTTGAACATTGTAGCTCAATTAGAAAGAGAGTTATTTTGTCCCAGAAAGTGTGACGGACAGACAGACGGACGAACCCATTTTAATAGTCCCCTGCTTTCTTCGAAAGGCGGGGGACAAAAATCTGATAGCCCTCCTTGCTTGTACGCTGACCGTGTTGTTGTCTGCCAATATGGCGGTGGTCTATGAATAGGTCATTAGCAGGGTCCGTTCTGTTGAATTATACGGCGATGTTCCAACACCAATACTAGATACCCGGGTTATCACTTCGGTATTCCCCTTACTTTTGCCAACATCAATACTAGATACCAGGGTTATAGGTATTTCCTTTCCTATTGCGTCAAATTTAATACTTTTGTGACGACGGGAAATTTTTATTATTGGTTTTGGCGATCGTCTTTGGGATATTCTTTTTCTCTCTAAATTCTAAAATAAAACTTTTGGCTTACTGTCTCACATTGCTCATTGCCTCCGTCAACAATCACCCCCTCATCTCATTTTAATTTTCTAATCAATCATCTTTCATTCCTCTTAATAAATCTACGTATTATTTTTCTTTACCCCGTGTTGTTTACTTTTTGAGTACCGCCGTGTCTCGTTAGCGAGATTTCCGCTCAGCGAGAAGCTGACGTCACGCCACCTCATAAAACTAGCGGGAACGCACCCTTTCGGGAGAACAAAGATCAGAGTGGAATCGGTAGGTAGTGGATAGTGTCTAGCTGGTGTTTTGGATTATTGTGAACCGCGCTTGGGGCAGGTGTCGTGAGCCTGATATTAGGCTATTGTTAATAGCATCGTGCATCGGTCTAGTGTTGAGGAGGTGTGCGCCTTCTTTTTGGATTCTTACGTGTACCTGTGTTGTGTTGTGTCTATCACGTGTACGTGTATCAATCTGTGGCCGCGTTTAGGACTGTGCATATATATATATATCAAAATTCACATGTATTCAATCCCTCTGTGTTAGTACATACTGGATTGGCCCCTTTAGTTGCTTTAACGTAAGTGTTGAGCACCAGTGCCTTAGTTGTAGTCACCGCCGGGCCTTTAATTACATTGGACTCAACCCGGTTGCAGCTAGGCCCAGCTTGCGGTTGCTAGACCTTGTGCTGTGTCTCCTCTGGAGCGGTTTTGTTGCAGGTATTACCCGTGGAAGCTGTGGGTGCCGAGGTGTTGGTGTTAGACATCGATTGCCTAGGTACAGGTGTGAGACGTTGTTCCGGAAATACGAGTATACATGGATTAGCAGAGTTCCTGTTAACGTCGCGTTTTAAAAGGCTACTTTACTTCTGTACATAGTCGCGTGCCTATTTCGCTGTGTTGTATTATGTATATTTTTCTTTTTATTTATTGTAATAAAGTGTATGATCTTTAAAACTTTTTAATTGATCGAAACAAGGTATATCGAGCTGGGGTTAACTTCGAGTCAAGACATTGATTCGGGTTAAGGGTTTGGATTTGGGTCCAAGCGAGGGGATCGGTAACTGAATAGTCACTTTTTAGCTGACACTTGCTCCGTTATTCTGTAGAGACGTCGTGGCCCTAGGCAAGGCTTAAGAAAAACCACTCCCTCGGACATCAACCAGTAGTCGGCACTGTCCTATTTTGGAGGTAGAGTGGCCATTGGTTGTCACACTTTTACTTTATGTTCTAGACTTAAAGAAAACTAACAATAAACATTTAACAGTTTAATGTCTGGCAGACATCTTTACACTAGCCTGAGCTAGCTCATTACAATTAATCATAGTTTGGTATTTGACCTTTGACCTATGAACTGTTAACCACTCAACACTTTACACAGTATATTTACGTCTACAAAATAAGAGAACACATATAAACAAATGGCAGACCTTTATTTCCAAAGAGAATTGAATATTTTGATAGTTGAATTTAGTTTCCGTCTGCAATGGCTTAGCACGGCATTTAACATATACAAGCATGCCTGATTGGACGTTATTATTTCAAATTATACTATCCATGGGTCGAAAACTTAAAGAACGTGTCGGAATAGTAACGATTCTCGATAACGGTCGGCCATTTGTTTCAAAATGTACTCGGGTGAACGGCTAGCTCTGGCATTCTGGGTAACCGAAACTAGTGAATGACGAGTCTGAAGTAAGCTCCTCTTATAAATAAACTTATAAAGGTACCTAAAAATACCAACAGACCATGTGTACAGGCAGAACATAAATGTTCTGTAAATTTGGAAATCCTTGGATGCGGTGTTACCTGTCGCAGATATGCATTACGGGACACGGCAAAATGATGTTTTACTCAATACGGTATTATAAAAGACTAAAGTAACACTTGCTGAAAAAGAAAGTGTTGGAACGCATAACATGTTGTAAATATATACACACAATATTTAATATCATTTCACTTGATTACTAAATTTGACGGCCACGGTGTAAAGCGTTCTTAAAATCGAATACGATTGGACAAGAATGATATAAGTGAAATTTAATCCAATCGTAGCCTTCGTCTCATGCTATCTGTGTTATTTTTTTCGCCATCATGACTGATGGGTTGATGAACATTTTTAAATGAAACAAAATTGGTAGTTGACAAGCTAACCGGATGTGGACAGTTTGCTTGACACGGCATGTTATGGACGTGGGCGTGGCCTGCCTGTGTTTTTGTTACCTCTTTGCGATCGCCATGTTTCTTTTACAAATTGAAAATAAGTATGGCGGTCGTTTAGGGCGTTACCTTTTTTTTTATCTAATTATTTTTTTTGGTTTTGTAATCGGAGTTCAGCTTTAAACTCAATTATCACAAAGACAAACAAATGATAAAAAAAAGGTCATCCCACAGGGATCAAATCGGGATAATTTAATACAAATCTCCACTGTTAACCACACTGACTCATTAAAGTTGGAACCAAAGACCAGTTCAAGTTTCGACGTTTTCAAAAAGAACCTAAAACAGAATTGTTAATTTTAATTTGTTATGATTTTCTATCAGTATTTTATCTGTACCTATACCCTGCTATTAACCCTGCTATTAACAGAATTGTTAATTTTAATTTGTTATGATTTTCTATTTGTATTTTATCTGTACCTGTACCCTGCTATTTTATTTTTTAAATCCTATTATCTTGTTTTACCAAACAGTTTTATTGTATTCTTATATGAATTCTATCTGTATTGTTTGATACTGTGTACTCATAATCATATATTTACAAGCTGGATTTGGGCGCTATACAAGTTCAATAATTTCCATTTTGTTTTAGAGAAGCTCAAATTTTAAAGCAAAGAATTCGAAGAACTGTGTAGCATGGTGCGAAAAACTGATTACCTTAGGATTTGTGTGCTAAAATTGATATTTGTTCTTTGGTTTGGGTTGGTGTGTTTCGAAACGATCCAAACATATCAGGGTTTAAATTTTTCGACCCCTTGAGCTCTCTGGGAGAGACCTTTTTGAAATCGGGACCCCTCTGACCGAGGCCATGGCTATCGCCCCCAATATGGGTTGGATTTTCATGATCTGAAATTTATTCTGGTTTTAATTTCATCATGCAGACCCCGGTGTCAAACTCTGATCGATTTCAGCTTAGAGAAATCTATCTCACAGTACCATGGTAGACTGTTTCATGTAGCCTCTTCCAGACAATTG